TTCTCTCAGAGTCTGGGAGGCACCTCCAACTTAGCAGGGCCAATGTAGAATGTATCACTTCCCCTCCAAGCCTGCTTTTTCTCTACCCAGTTGTTCGGGCTAGAAATCTGAGGTTTATCGTGGCCATCACCGGCTGTCACCACTCTCATAGAAGTAGCTGCTGAATATTAAAACACTTGCAAGGCTCTCAATTCCTCTTTATTATCACCTTGGTCCAGGCTGCAATTGCCTCTTGTCTGGACTGGAAACCAATGGCCCCTAAAGGGTCTCATTCACAAGATAAATATTCTCCTCTCTACTTAGTAGCCGCCAATGGCTTCCCTTTGCTCTTAGGTTAAAGTCTAAAATTTTACCCCAGTCCGTTTCTTCCTGCTCATCTTAAATCTCTCTCCCTCATGCATAATGTTCCTCACTTGAGTATCACTTTTTGAGTTCCTTAAACAGTTTAAGTTCCTTCCTATTTCAGGGCTTCAGAACATGAGAGTAGATGCAGAAGCCAGAGGGTCCTAAAGAAGGCCCAGGGACTACCATGTTGAGATCAGTACAAATCCATTTTTACTTCAGAGACAACCCCTAGCCCCCATTCTTCGAAGTTCTATGGGGTCTTTAAATATGTGGCTCTTTCTGCCTAAGGTTATTGTCACCTCTCTCTTTATTTGGCCAACTCCTCTTATCCTTCACATCCAGCTGACCGTCACCTTCTCATGGAAGCTTTCTTTCTAACCCCAAGTCTAGGTTAGTTTCTCTGTCAAAAGCTCCCACTCTTCATTTAGTAGTTATCATAATTGTAATAAAACTGTGTAGTTAGCATTGTAATGTCCTTTTCTGCTCCTAGCTATCAAATCCACGAAGGCAGACACCATGTCTGTGCATTCACTGCTTTCCTCCAGCACCCGACATGTATTCAGAGTTTATTAGGTTCTGAGTGAATAAATGTGCTTCTCAGAAACTCTGATTTGGGCAAAGGCCAGGGAATAGCCCATGTGCCTCTGTTCTGAGTTAAGTCTCATCTTTGTCAGATATGAGTGTAGAGATTATTCTGAAAGGATCCTAGATTAGTTATGTACACTGCATACTAGCCACAGTTGCTGATCCAGCTCTGGTGAAGAGGGGATCATAGGGTCCAGCTGGGGAAATGATGTTCCCCTCCTGTAACCCAAGAGGGTTTCTTGGGATAGGAATGAGAGTCTGAGCTGCGTATTAGATGAACTATGAGCTCTGTTACGCAATGGCTTCTTGACTTTGGAAAATATGTATTTTTTTCCAATAATGGTAAGGGAAAAAGCCAGGTAGGATGCTGTTTCATTTTTCAGGTTGCTAACAGATAAGCAACAATGATGTGTTAATGAGCATATATGAACAAAACCCAGTGTTGTAATCAATAAGAACTTTCTACATATTTTAGTGGTATGTGTAACTGTATATTGCTCTGAATGGCAACTAGATACCTATGTTAAGCAGTTCACTAGACTTATGCAACTGTAGTGGCTCTAATTCATAGACATATTATATATATATATATTTTTACTTCACTAATCCAAGCATTTCTGAGACCAACTTCAGGCACTAAAAAAACCCCAACATTATTTCCCTTCTTTCCCTCCTAAGGGCAGAGATGATCCATTTTCTCTTTCTACCCAGAAACTGTGGGTAGGAGGAGGCAGAGGGTGCTGTAAGGAAAGGTCCAGGCCTGATGATTGGCACACAAGTTGTGTCCCATTTGTTTTCATGGTTTTAGCACTGATCTTACCATCTGGTTCCACATGAGCATTTTCCCAAATGTCTAAGAGAAAGAGCTGCTTTTAAAAAACTAAGTGTTAAACTGTGCTTTACATGTATTTATGCCTTTATTTTTTACAACAACAACAACACCTTGAAGGAATGATTATTTTCTCCATGGCACAGGGGAGAACATTGAGGTAGGTGATGCCTCCAGGCCATGCAGCTTGGAGCCAAGGTTTGAAAGATTTCAAAAGAAAAATTACTCAGTGCAGACTTTGTAGACATAAGAATGTGTCCCAGAGGGGAGTTCAAGTGGGAATGGGCCTGAGTAACTGAAGGAGTCAGATGCTGAAATTAAGAACTTCGGGCTTGAAGGGAACTTAGAGTCATCTCTTAGTGGTTTTCAAGCTTTAAACCACAAAGAACTGCTGCTATTAATTTTCCCCAGAGAATCTCTATTTTGAAATATTTTGGCGGGTTAAAAATTTTTAAGGAAATAATTCTGCTTTCTGGTTTTGTTCATCGAAGAGGTAATAGATGACTACCAAACAGAGTCTCTGATCTGTACGAGACAACTTGTCTTTCCACACCAAGTGGCTGTTACTGCAAGCAAACACATAGGAGTGCTTTTCAATGAGCTTGTGCAGACTTACAGAAGGTAGGGGTAGAAAATGGACAATTTCATTAGACTTTTTCAAAGTCTGGAAAAAGATAGTCCTCTTTTTGCCATGAGTACCTTCAAGAACCCACATCAATCTAGTGGTCCCAGTTGGAAACCATTACTCCAGACCTACTTCCTTATTTTATTATTGAGGAAACTGAGGCCCAGACAAGGTAAGAAAAACTCCCAAAGTCATCAAGTAAATTAGTGGGTAAAAGAAGTACTAAAAAATGGAACACATGTCACCTGGGACCCATTAACTGCTCAGAGATAATAGAGTTGACTGTCTAATTATGTAGCCAGTTCTGCAGCTTATGAAAGTTCAGAGGACTTCCTGCCATTTTTAATTCTGAGCACGTGTTCCTATGATCCAGCTCCTCTGTACTTGGAGTGTTATGCCTGCTTTTCCCTAAACTACCCCAGGACCAAAACTTGTGGGGAGAGAAATAGAGAGAGAGAGAAGCTCTTTGGTGTCTCTCCTTATAAGGGCACTAATCCTATCATGAGCCCCCCTCCCCCGGCCTCATCTAACCCTAATTACCTCTCAAAGGCCCCGTCTCCAAATACTATCACACTGGGGCTTCAACATATAAATTTGAGGGCACACAAACATTCAGTCCATAACACCTGGGCAAGAAATTTTGCTAGTTTTTCAGATGAGAAACTGAGCCTCAGAAGTAGTAAATATAATTATACTGAGTCAATGAGAGAGAACTTTAGGAGGGCAGTGCCCATGATGATGACTCTTCCATGCACACTGATGCCCACCTTACTCTTCCCTTTCCCCCACCCAGGACAGAGCTATTTCTTTTAAATTCTTAGAACAGTGTGGTAGTTTAAAAACAGGTCTACAAATTCTTTGATATTCCTCCCTTCAAAATGTGGAATCACTTTCCTTTCCCCTTGAGTAGGAACTACACTTACCAACTCACTTCTAACAAATAGCAGACACAATGGTGTGAGATTTCTGAGATTAGGTCAAAAAGACACTGTGTCTGGCTCCTTGCTGTCTCTCAGATCATGGGCTCTGGGAAAGCCAACTGCCATGTTGTGAAGACACGCAAGTAGCCCTATGGAAAGAACCATGTAGTGAGGAACCGATAGCCAGTGAGGAACTGAGACCTCCTCTCATAGCCACGTGAGCGTGCCACGTTGCACGTGAATTGTCCAGCCCCAGTCAAGCCTTCAGATGACTGCAGCCCTCGCTTCCATTTTGACTGCAAACTCATTAGACACCCTGAGCCAGAACCCCTGGTTGTCACTCCCAGATTCCTGACCTACAGAAACTGCAAGATAATCAATGTTCATTGTTTTAAGGGAACAGTGTTTTATGCTATCCTCAGTTCTCCATTCTCCACATTACCCACGTGGCCAAGCCATATCAACATTTCTGAGTCAGTTTCCTCTATAGAAAATAGCCACAAAATACCATGTAGTATGCCTGATACTACATGCCTAGTACAGACTAGCTTAAAGCAAGCTCAATAAATTGTAGTTGGTGTCAACACCTGATTAGATGTGTGGCTTCCCCAGGTGAGTTTCTGTCTGTTGGCTTCAGATGCCCACTTCCTCAGAGGAGGTGCCAACCTCACACTTAAGTTAGTGTGCATTGCCTGGAAGAGAGCCCTACATGCCTAAATCTTCCCGGCCTAGGGACTCACGGCTTCTTTTCCATTTCAGTACAGACAGCCTTGATGAAGACAACCTCCCTCCTTCTCTCCTTTTCTTCTGCTAGGTTCCATTCTTAAACCTAACCTTTCATCTCAGAATTTCAGCTTTGATGCTCTCCACTTCCTTCCTATGGTTACTTTAACCGAAGTGAGTCAGGTCTTACTGAAAAACTGACTACAGCCAGTCGTCAGCTCCCACCCTCCCCAGACCAGGGCTGCCTGGGCAGAGCGTGAGTGAGGGGGATCAGCGTTTACTTAGCCCATCCTCTCCCCCTCACTCCTTCACATCACAGGGCTCTGAGTGGGGCTTCCCCAGCCACCGTCGCAGTCAGGAGCCAGTCTCACATTTGTCTGATTGCTCAAGGAGGAGTGGCAGCAGCTTGAATCCTTGGATATCTTATTGAGTGGACCAATTTGCTTATATTCTACTCTGTTGGGTCCAGTCTGTTGCCTCAGCTCAGGGAGAATTTGGTAGAAGTTTTTGGTTGTGAATGCCAGTAACAACCCACTCTGTGCCCTGGGTCTGTCTCCTAGTCCTGGATTCCATCTTAGTTCTTATGACAATCCAGGCAAATTAGTGTCCCCCCCTGGAACTCTGGTGCTTGACCAGGCAAAAAATACACTAAAAAACTTCCTCTGCATAGCTTTCTAATTTTGGCATGCGTATAATTCGGCCTTAGCCTTGAAAATCAGCCTGATCTTTAAGGATTTAAAGGTATTCCTTAAAGGATTGAATTTATGGAAAGACTATGGTGGTCTTTGATACTGGCTTTTGAAGGGAGACTATCTTTCCCCCCTGCTTGGATGTGGAGCTTTCCCTCTTTCTGGGAGAGGGCAGTTGTCTTCTTACTCTGGAATGCAGAATTCATTCATCTACTCTCTTCTACCTTGGAGACTTTGAGGGAACAATTTGAGTCAGACAGAAGTCAACTGACACCATAATATGATTTTAATAAACCCATTTATTTATTCAAAATTAAAATCTGCTACAAAGACAGACAAACAATGTAACATTCCCAGAGGAACTGAACTGCTTCTAGTTAAAACTGAGTTCTATTAGAACCAATTTTAGGCTGTTATAAATAACAAGCTGGCTACAGCTTTCAACAACGAAGTGGTTAGGGAATGAGGCCAAGGGAATCCCTCTGAGCCGCTGGGATGTTAATGATCAAAGGGGCTCCTAGTTTCTCTTCCTAAGAGGGTGAGATCCTTGTAATACGCTGGGAGCCCCAGGCCCAGGGACAAAAGAAATTAGAGGGTGGTCAGGGAAAACAGCTGAACAGGTATAAAATATGGTCAAGCTTGGAATGGAAGCTTCAGTTGGCTCCTCAAGAAACATTTTTTTTCTTTATATAACTTACAATTTCTCTTAAAATACTCAAATACCATAGGATGTTACCCATGGAAACAGCTTAAACACAGGTGAAAATAATAAATATTGAACAATTATAATATCGGGCTTCTTTCTAAATAGTTCACAGAGAAGCTCAGTAAATAAATAGAAATGGAAGTTGAGGTATTGGATGTAATAAATATTCTAGGAGAGAGGTAAGGCGGGGTTGTCCAGGGAGCTGGTTCGGCTGTCCTGGAACCCTGGATTGGATTTTGGAGATCTCCGATTTATGTCCTGGAGTCGAGCCGAGTCGCCACCCCAGGTGTTTCGTTGCTCGGGACGTTTCAGTTGGTCATCCTCATTGTCATGTAGGTTTCTATGTAGTTGATGAAAATGTCAAACTCGCTCATGGCTTTGTAGATGCCTTTCTCTTGGAGCTGTGGGGGGAGATCAGAAATGTTTCGTGAACACCCAACCTGAGCGAGTAAGCTGGTCCCTCCCTTGGGTGGCAGTGCCCCTGGGGGCCAGAAGCAGCACTGGATCCCTCGAGTTAGAGGAGGAGGTAGCCTGGGGACACACAAAGGCCGTGCATCGATGTGAGGCACAGCTAGCAGTGCCGAGAGGAGTACCCCCCTCCTGCAAAGCACACTCTTCAGAACAGCGCCTTTTCAACAGTTTTAAAGGTCATGGGCTCACATGACACTTTTTCACAATTTGATGAAAAACCATTAGAGGAACCACTTTGAAAGGAAGACAGTGAGAGTGGAGAGAAGGGGGCCTCTTTTAGGGTTATTATCTTCCACCAACAGATCCCCAGGCCCCGCCCTGCTGTTCCAGCCTGGGTCAGGGGATTCTTGTCTCCCGCTGTTTTGGACCCTGCTGGGTGTCTGTCCCCAGCCCTCGAAGAGGACACAGGCCACATGGTTTCTGGGAAATGGCGCTGAAATGTTCGCGAGCAGTTGGGAGCGTGAAACCCTAGCTGGTTGGGAGTTGACATTCTCAGGCACCTGGGGAGGTGTGAGCTGCAGATGGAAAGTGAGTGTGGTCCAGCCCCGGATAAGTGAGAATCCTGCTTCCTGATCTGTATGAGTCTTGGGGAGTCCAGGCTGAACCCCTGGGTGTGTTTGTGTGTGCGCATTCACGTGCAGGCTTCCTGCACGTGTGGCTTCAGCCTGGATTCCCAACAAGCTACTTTCTGTTTCCTTTGTCACTCTCCCCAGCACCCAGCTCACTGCGTTCACAGGCTAGCCAGCCGGCTCAGCCCACAGGCCTGCAAAGGCGGGGAGCAGTCATTTAGAAACCCCCAAAGAGACTTCACAGAAAACAAATATAACTGAGGCAGCAGCTCCTCACCAGCGGAGGAGGTCACACCATCTGTGGGGTTCCCACAGTCCCTCCCAGCGAAGGATGGGGCTTGCTTAGCATCTGCCAGCCTCTGCCCTTGGGCAGGGGGCAGAGGTCTGTTCCCCAGCCCTCCTGGCTACCATGGAGCTCACCTTACTAAAGGCACTCTTCACCTGCTCCACTGCTTTGCTCTTATTTTCACAGGGCAGAAAGCGATACTGTGGAGGGAAAGAGAAAGTGTTAAAGATACTGGCTCACTTGGGGACAAGCTGGTGGCAAGAAGAGACCAGCCTTGTCCTGAGCGCTGCTCCCCCACCGGAGAAGAACCAGGCTCAGGAGATGAACCGTGTGCCTCTGGGAGCCACTCAAATGTTTGCCAGGCTTGCATGAAAACCCAGGTCTTGGAGTTTCCTCCTCTGGAGCGTGCAGTGCTGACTAGATGCTGAGCCAGCTGTTCTGTCCTTTCCTGCTCCTCTGTCCTGTCCCCTCCCCTTCAGTCCCAGGCACTGAGGACCATTTCTGTCTTGGGGAATGGAGACACAGTCTCAGCTATGCGGACAAACCCTTTGCATAGTCCCATCCCACAAACTGAGACCAAAATTGGCTGATTTCCCATTCTCAGCGAGAGAACACAGGAAACCAGCGAGGAGGTCTCATTTCAGTCAGAGAACTAGCTTATCCTGGGGAACTGTCCCTAGACACTAGTCAGGGACCTTGTAAATACCAGGGGAAGTCCTTTCAGTCATTTGGGCCCACTTAGAGCTCTGGTTTTAAAAGGTTCAGAAGAAAGAGGGACCTGGAGTCCTTCTACCTGGGACTGGGATGCTCAACTCCTGGCCCCTCTTGCTGGGCCCAGGGCTTAGGTCCAAAGGGACAGGGGAGCCCTGACTAAAGCTCTGGGCCCCTTTCATACAGAGACAGAGGAATAGTTAATAACCCACAAATGACTCACAAATAACAGGAAAGCTGTTTGCAAATCTTCACATGTAAATGCCTAGCAGTCACCCCACCCCCTGCTCAGAGAGAAATGCCAGCTCCTGCCTCTCTGCGTCTGTGGGCCTGGGTGTGAGGGGTGTTAGGAGATGAAATGATGTTTCGGAAAAGCCGAAGAGCCGCAAAGGAGAGAACCTGCTGGCTACTCACACAGCGCCGGAGCTGCAGCCTGAGCGTCTTCAGCTTCTCCCCCAGCGAGTTCACGTGCTCCTTGATGTTCTGGCCCTGGCTCTCAGCCTGGGGCATCACCTCTTCCAGGTAAAACTGGATCATCTCTGACAAGGCCTGGCAGCCCAGGTAACCCTGAGGGCAGAAGCACAAGGGTGGTGACTGGGAGGAAGAGCTGCTGCCACTAGCTTGAGAGGGTGGCTTTGTCCCCAAGGACTTCTCTTCACCAGCACCCTCCCTCCCCCCCTTAACCCTCTGGCTGGCTATGTGCTGAGTTAAGATCTTCCCACTTCTCCTTTTCCAGCGAAGGAAGCAGACCCAGCTCCCTGTAGGCGTGAAGCAGAGCCTTCCTTCTCTTAGTCACAAGCCCCCTCCCACCCGGCTCTCACCTTAAAGTCTTCCAGCAGGGACCCGTTCAACAATATGTTGTCCAGTTGGTCCTTCATTTGCTACAAGAAAACAAAATGAAAATAAGCCTGAGGTTTGGGGAAATAGCTGAAATGAATGTCCCTTATAGAGTGTTTTTGATTTTTAGTCAATGCAGCCCCGGCCCACAAATGGAAAGGATAGTTAACAAAACGAGATGCCCAACAGTGCTGGAGCCCTTAGTTAAACCAGGTCCTCCCCATGGGGATCAAGTTGTAACTTGCTCCCGATTCTGAAGCTAAGGCAGAAGCTTGCTTAGGTCCTGGTCTTCTTCCTGCAGAGACCCACCGGGTGTCTGCCCTCCGGTGCTCTCTGCCAGTCTCCCTCTCCGGCCCACTCCCGCTGCAGCTCTGCAGGCTCCTTGGGAATGGGGGGCAGCTCCTCTTATAGGTTCCCCCTGCATGGCACTTCCCCAAACACCAGTCTTTCAGGTTCTGAACCGCTCTTAGCAGACGCAACTTGTTTCCCTGCTACGGGGTGTGGGGAGCGTCTCCACCTTCAGTTACACCCTTTGTGATTCCTCCCAGCCAATGAAGCGCTGAGCTCCAGCAGAATCTTATAAGACATTTCTGAGCACAGGCAAGAGTCTTTTTACCTTCCAGAGAGCTTTTCCTGCACATTTGGAGCATCATCAGGGCTTAGCTTAATTCATCGAACCCATAGCTTGACTGGGGGAGTCTCTCAAGAATTTAATTTTAGGGCAGTGGGTGCTGGGGATGGAGGCGAACAAACAAGGGTTCTCGGCCCTCTAGCAGGACGCCTCTAGCAGCCTCAGGGAGGAAGGGTAGGGAGGCATCATACTCACAAAGAAAGTCTTCACCCTGTTGAAGGCAGTTCGGAGCTCTCGAAGCATGTGGGGCAGGCTGGTTGGGAGGTGGGTGCAGCTGTTCTCAGATGAGGAGTCCCGGCCTCGGCTGGCCCCCACCCCGGCCAGGAGGACCAGGCAACACAGCAGTGCTGAGCTGGGCATGGTGGTGCTCTGCCTTCTTCTGCGAGCCTGCCTTGTGGTTTGGTTTTGCAAGAGCAAGGCCCTGATGTGTAGACCTTCACCTACTGTGTCCCCCTTTTATATTATGGGTTCAGTAGGGCCTCCCCATTCATAAAAAAGCCACAGAGTCACAGATTTCCTGGCAAAGGTTTTTTCTGATTACAACCCCTCCCTTCTCTAGACCTTTGCATTCGATGAACTTCGTTAAGTGTTAATTCTTTGCATCGTAAGCAAAAAGGATGGCTGAAAAACGAACTTCTGCATTGTGGCTATTTTTAGGGTGAGCTACCTCTCTCTCTTTTAAAATAATTTTTCAGCTTCTCTTAATAAAAAAAAAAAGTTGATTTCCTGGGGTGAACAGCTGTTCTGTGCGCAGAGGCCCACAGTTGTGGGTTCCATTCACATGTCCCTAGGTCACAGTGACGTGGACAAACTGGTCATTCCAGAGTATGCTGGAATTGAGAAATAATTGGATTCCTTCCCTGCTCTGGGTTAAACACCCAAAGCTTCTCCTCGCTGAATTGGGAAGTCATCCCAACTCTCTGGGCCTTAGTTTCCCCAAGTGAAAACATGAGGATGAACTCAATACCCCCACAGCTGCCTTCTGGCTCTTTCCTGTTCTGTTCCCAGCCTGCCCCTTGAAGAGGCCAGCTTCCCACAGGATCGGCAGGCACCCGGGAGGTGCTCCAGGCTTCCTCTCTAGCTCTGGGTTCCCTGAGACGCTCAGGTCCATGTCTCCAACCTTGCGGCTGTCCCAGTACTTGGGGGAAGTCAGCAAGAGGAGTCCAAAAGTACCAAAACGTTTGTACCCGCTAGTCACCAGGACCTTTATTATCTCCATTTTGCAGTGAGCAAACCGAGGCACAGAGATGTTACATGACTGGCAAGAGGTTGCGCGGGTGCTCCATGAGGGAACCAGAATTTCCCCTCGGGCTCGCCCGGCCTGGCACCATGCTCCTGACTCTGCTCTACTGCTCCCAGTGCGGGCGCTGAAAAGATTGGATTAAAGGGTCCTTCAGGCTTCTTTGAGTTGTGAGCTTCTATGGTTGGAGACTTAAACTTGAAAGACGTAGAAGGAAGAAGTAGAAAGACCGTGAAATACAAGTGGGGACCCCACGAAGGCTGCACAGCAGGCCCCTCTCTGTCCTCTTACCCAAGTCTTCTCCTTTCCCAAGGAGGCCTTTCTTATCTTGTCTTAGATCTGGACATGTGACTGTGTGTGTGCATATGAGTGTGTGTAAGTGTGTCAGCGTGTGCGAATGTGTGCGCGTGAGTGCGTGCGTATGATTTTGTGTAAATGTGTGAGTGTGTGTGTTTGTGTGTGTTTGAGTGTGTGTGAGTGTATGTTTAAGTGTGTGAATGTGTGTATGAGTGTGTGTATGAGTGTGTATAAATGTGTGACTGCGTGTGTATGAGTGTGTGTGTGTGTGCATGCACACACATGAGCACGTAGGGGCAGAACAGCCAGATATGGTGAGGGGTGCTGCTCTGCCTCTAGTTAGGAAAGACGGGGGTAGTCACATCACTTCTACAGATCGCTGGAAAGTTTCTGGGGGTCCTTTGTGCCTTGACTTCCCCCTTCCACAGGGCTTCTCCCACCATTGAAGACAGTAATGGGGAGAACACTGACCTGCGATGGGGGGCAGAAGGCCTGGGCTCTGTCCTGCTCTGTCACTCTTTACACCCAAGGCATATCCCTTGACCTCTCTGTGTCTATTTTTCATCTGTCCCACGGGGCACAGTACCTGCCTCGGGCTCCCCATGGGATGGGGCTTGGGGAGTTAGCAAGTGTACCTGGATATAGGATATCTCCTGCTTTCTGCTATCTCCTTGCCCTCCTGCATCGGCACCTGGACACCCTGAATGGCACTGGGCTCTGAGCCTGCCCCATCGGAGAAGGTCACTGGGCCAGAGCAAGTGAGGTAGACAAACTGGGGCCAGGCCAGGCTGGAGTCAGTAGGAGGGCCCACCCTGTGGATGTACCTTGTGGGTCAGAATAGGGGGACCGCAGCCTTTCCTTCCTACCCTTCGTGTTAATATAGAAATCTAAGAATCACGAAGGGAGAAAGAGCCTTTTGGAAACAGGAGCAGCGCTAACACAGGAATTGCTTCCCCTGCCAGGTTTACACTGGGCTTAGGGGTGCTGCGTTTTACAGCCAGGAAGCAGGGAGGAGCCAGGAGCTGGGCTGGCATCCTTTCCACCCTTCTCCTTCGCTCTTGGCTCCTGGGTGCTCTTGGCTAAGCCCTGTCTGAGCTGGGTGTTCCAGGTGCAGAGTTAAGGTGGCAGAGCAGTTAGGCCAGAGGACCCTGACCAGGGCAAGGCTCTGAGCCCTCCTCCCCAACCCAGGCAGCATGGTCCCTTCTTCCCGTCTTTGTTACCATGTCCTGTGCTTTCCTCCGCTACTGAACCTACACCCTACAGCTATCACCCGTGTCCACACCCTGTCTCCCAGCCAGCCGTGAGGGCCCTGAAGCAGGCTGTTTTGTCATCCTTTGTGTACCTGGTGCGAGCACAGGGTCTGGCCCAGGGTGGGCGCCGGGTACACGGCTTCCTCTTTACTGTATCAGGATGGGCACGGCAGAGTTCCCCGGGGAGCTTGGCTGGCGCTGGAGAAAGCAACGCTACGGAGGCAGATCCAGGCACAGGCAAAGACTCGGAAGGATCCAGAGAGCAACTCAGAGAGGCAGGAAGCATCTCTTCACTTTCTTATAATTTGAGATATACACACTTTAACTACTGAGAGCTCAATTTTGAAAACAAAATGTATTTTAATAAACACTGCCTTTACAATTATTCAAAGTGTGTGCATACATTTTTTGGGGACACTTTATATAGGTACATGTATGTATGTATGTGTACACACACGTGGATGCATGCACAAGATGGCAGGGAGAAGGGAGGCGGCAAAACCCATTTCTACCTTCCTTTAACCCATAAGCCACTTGTTGAATAGCTGATCCTTTCCTCATTGACTTTCAATCATTATCCTCTCTTATCTCAAAATTTCAGCACCTAAAGGGTCAGAGACAACCACAGGCAAATTTCTTGATGCTGTTTCTTAATTAACAAATAGATAAGACAATATACATATATTTTATCAACATGTCTCATAGGATTGATGTCAAGCTGATACAAGAGAATAGAGATGAACATTTTGGGGGAAATTAAGACCCTCTACTTAACTTTGATATTGACAAAAAGACGAGAAACACAAAAGCAGCCGTCCTCCGATTTATCAAGGCTGTGACGAGAATCTCCTTATTGGAAAGGTCATTAGGGTCCATTAGGAAGAGTCCCAAACTCACAGTTCACATGTGAGCCATAAATGTTGAGTCTGCATGTTAGGAGATTCGGGTTTGGGTTTCAGTTCGAGGGAAGGACTGAAGGGAAAAGCCCGTGCAGGGAAGGAAGTGAGAGAGCAGGGCATATGGATAGAAGGAGTGTCAGCTTGGACACCCTGGTTCTGAGGATTTCAAGAGGACACAAATGCCACTCAGCAGATTGAGAGCTCCTTGAGGTTCAGTGGCTGAGTTGAATTTCCCCTCAAGTCTACATGCACAATGGGTGCCTAATAAATGCTTATTAAATTGAATTTTAATGAATTTTTCAGTGGGGACTCACTGGGAAATCAGAGGAAGGTTGTGGGAGGGGAAATACCTCTCCTCTGCCACCCCTGCTCTAAAATATTCCCTAGTTTTGGTATTTAGCTGCAAATGAAAGAAAACCTGACTAAGTAAGCACAGTTTAAAAAAGCCAAAGGATATTATTTCTTTGTCTCACCCAACAAGAAGCCCAGAGGCAGGTAGTCCGAGGCTGTGACAGTTCTCATATGTCCCCCGCAAGCTGTTTATCCTATCTTCCTGCTCTCCTATTCATTGTTGGAGGATGTCAGGGAGAAGGGGCATGGGCCAAGTCCAAAGGTCCAAAGGCACCTGAGCCCGGAAGATCCTAATACTCTTTTGGGAACTTCCATTCAGTAGTTTCACCAAGTTAGTGGCAGAGGAGTCTAGGCAGACAAGAATCGCCAGTGTGTGTGTGTGTGTGTGTGTGTGTGTGTGTGTGTGTGTGTGTGTGTGTGTGTGTAGATTTTGGAGGGTCCTATTTATAGTGCACTAGGTCTTATAAGGAGTCACCTCCCAGCTATCCTCAGGCTCAGCAAAATGGCAACCTTCTTGGGATAGTTGCCTTGCTCCTTGCAGCGATTCTGCAACTCAGACCCAAGAGTGGAGACGGTTTTGTGGAGCTGCACTGGAGTTTCAAAAGGAAGGCTGAGGAACCTGGGCTTGCTGGACTCAGGGTCCAGCCAGTTTACCTGCTAATAGGGCCACTTGGGAGGAAACAGGCAGGTTCATGATGCAGGCTGGTGGGATGGTGGCTACTTGGAAAGGCAGAGATGACTGTCCTGATGAAGAATCCCCATGGGGGTGGGCTTCTACTTGCCCACTGGTGGTTACTATTTCAAAGCCGATAGTGAGAGTTTCATTTCTTCTTATCCAGAACATCTAGTGCTTACAACAGTTTCCCCAGCTTGACATTTCTAATATTCCCTTGAATAACCTTTCTCAGCTCCCTGGGCAGAGACTTCTTCGGTGGCTCTGCTGCAACAGGCCTGGTCAACACACAGTCTATCATCAACCCCCAAGTGTGGCCGGGTGGGGCCCAAGAAGACAGGGATCTGTGCCCCTGTCCTAGTCTGGGCTCCTCTGACTTTGGTCTTGTGCCTGGGGTGCTTTAGAATAAAGACCTGGTGGTCGAAGGAGCCAAGTTGGGGCTGGCCCCTCGGCCAAGTCAAGCAAAGTTTATGCAAAGCCGATTGGGTGCTCTTCCGAGGATCGTGGCAGGCAGACATTATAAACCACAGCGGAAGGGCTGATCTTTGGACAGCCAACTCGGAATTCCCCTTTGTGCAATGGGGCAACAAATCAAGCAGTTTGGATTTTCCTTAGGGGACAAACACTGTGATCTGTAACTTGTCATATGAGACATTTAGCTTACAGGAGCCAGGACGCCAGGTGTTGGAGACCTTGCTACCCAGAGGATATAG